CCTAATATCTAACCTGGACCTCTCCATTGCTTGAGACCATTGCTCCTTGTTCTTCCATCTGTCACTACTGAGAACAGCCTTTCTCCATCCTCTTTGGAACCTCCCTTCAGGAAGTTGAAGGCTGCTATCAAATCCCCTCTCACTCTTCGCTTCTGCAGACTAAACAGACCCAACTCCCTCAGCCTATCCTCATAGGTCATATGCTCCAGCCCCTTAATCATTTTGGTCGCCCTCCGCTGGACCCCTCTCCAATGCATCCACATCCGTTTTGTAGTGGGGGGTCCAGAACTGGACACAATACTCCAAATGTGGCCTCACTAGAGCCAAATAAAGGGGAATAATGACATCTCTGGATCTGCTGGCAATGCTCCTCTTAATGCAACCTAATATGCCATTAGCCTTCTTGGCTACAAGGGCACACTGTTGACTCATATCCACCTTCTCATCCACTGTAACCGCCAGGTCCTTTTCTGCAGAACTGCTACTTAACCAGTTGGTCCCCAGCCTGTAACAATGCTTGGGATTCTTCCGTCCCAAGTGCAGGACTCTGTACTTGTCCTTGTTGAACCTCATCAAATTTCTTGTGGCCCAATCCTCCAATTTGTCTAAGTCACTCTGGACCTTATCTCTGCCCTCAAGCGTATCTACCTCTTCCCCCAGCTTAGTGTCATCGCAAACTTGCTGAGGGTGCTACCCATCCCCTCATCCAGGTTATTAATAAAGATATTGAACAAAACCGGTTCTAGAACCGAACCTTGGGGCACTCCGCTAGAAACTGACCACCATCCTGACATCGAGCTGTTGATCACTACCCGCTGGGCACGGCCTTCTAGCCAGCTTTCTATTCATCTTACTGTCCATTTATCCAATCCACATTCCCTTAACGTGCTGGCAAGAATATTGTGGGAGACTGTATCAAAAGCCTTGCTAAAGTCAAGGTATATCACATCCACTGACTTTCTCATGTCCACAGAGCCAGGTACCTCATCATAGAAGCTAATCAGGTTGGTCAGGTATGACTTGCCCTTTGTGGATCCATGCTGACTATTCCTAATCACTTTCCTCTCTTTCAAGTGCCTCAAAATAAATTCCTTAAGGATCCCTTCCATGATTTTTCCAGGAACCGAGGTAAGACTGTCTGGCCTATAATTCCCTGGATAGTCCTTCTTCCCAATTTGAACTTACTGACCTCTGGGAGGCCTCCTGCAGCTGTCCAGAATGCTTCCTGGGACTCTTAAGTCTGACATTAATGGAGCCTACCTCGGACTAATTTCAAGGCTTCTCTGTAGTGAGGACACACAAGTTTGAATTTGTTAAATCAGGAGTTCTTATGTTGAATTTAGTAATTTTGAAATCATTTCCCAGTGTAGACCTGGCCTATGTGTGGGATTGTATCAAAACTGGAAGTGTGAATGGCCAGCCTAAAATAACCTCACTATCTCAAACCCACACCAGAAGTCTGGGAACATTTAAAGAAGACAAACAAAAATAAATAAGTTCAAGTGGGGGTAGATTTCATTTAGACCTATTTATGCTCTTGAAGGACAGATACTGCCACTCTTAAAATAGAATAGATCTCTGCCATGCAGTTAGAACTATCAGTGCCCCTGGAGTTTATTTGCATACTAGTCTATTCTGAGTGCATATTGATGGCAGAATCTAGTCCTTAATAACCTATCACTAATTCTGGAAGAAATATTGTCATCCATCCCATTTTAGGTCCCTGGGGCTTTTTGCCCTTTTTTTTTTGGTCTCTCATCAATACACACAACAGCACAGTTGATTACAAGTCTGCTACATTCCAGGGTGATGCATGGTGTGTGAATTGGTCAGGAAAGGTGTGTAGGTGGGTGAAAGGGACACAACACTGCAACAATCTACACTCAGGGTTCTGAGCAGAGGACGAGGGTGTGGAGAGAGAAGAGGTGTGGTAGGAAATGCAGCTAACAGGAATGTTTAAGATAAAGCAGCGCTCCCCACTCCATACTCAGTTTAATTTATATCCAAACCATAGAAAAGTATCACTCTCACTGATCTGAAAAAGCGTTGGATTAAGCCCACTGGATTAAGATAAATCAAATTGCCAAATATCAAACTGGTGGAAAAATGATGTTCATTTTGTACATCTAGTTGCTAATGATCCTACTTTTGTGTTTACACCTTGGTTTTGACCAGCACACACTACCATTTAATTTACAGGTGAATAATCCCAATAAACCTACTCTTCTGGATGATGAGGAATCCCGCCCCCTTCCCGCCCATTTATTTGAAGACCTTTTTTAATGAAAAAGGAAAAGAAGTCTGAGAGTAGAATGTGCTGCTGCTAATTTACACTAAACGGTGATATACCTCCTCTTTCCCCTCAGACCCTCATTCCCCTTGACATTACAAACCATAATCCCACTGTTTTATCTGTCACCCAAGTTTACACTCTTGGGTTATGGCTCTATTGCCACTCTCTTGTGGAAAAACTAATGCAAATGAAGCTAAGTGCAGAATATCGCTGTGCTTCATTTGCATAATTAAAGAGGCTCTGTTTTTGCACAAGAGGCTTTTGCGCAAAAAGGAGTTGTCTACACGGCTCCTTTTTGCACAAAACCACGCTCTTGCACAAGAGCCTTTCTTCCTCATTTTTTTCAGGAAGAACGGTGCTTGCACAAGAGAGGTTTTTTGCACAAAAACGGAGTTTCATTAATTATGTGAATGAAGCACGGCAATATTCCACATTTAGCTTCATTTGCATTTATTTTTCCGCAAGAAGGGGCAGTGTAGACATAGCGTTGGTGTCCTAGTCAACTTCTTCCTTTCTCTACACACATTCAGAATTTCCACAAATTTGGACAGTCCACTTTCTTTAATATTCCTAAATTAATTCTTTCCTTTCTTATTCTAGTGCTAAAACCCAGGTTTAAGTCTGATATATCCACTGCAAGCTCCTCCACACTGACCTTCTCTGCTTCCATCCTCATTCTCTGCAAGTATATTCAAACCGGTTGCTTTGAAAATTATCTGCCTCCCTGAGCATTCTGAACATGTCACTCTCATATTCTTCATTGCTTTCTCTTATTCATTGTCTTGTCTGGATCAGGTTCAAGTTTTCAATGTGCTTACTTTCAGCACATTTTACAACTTGGTGCATGTATCCAAAGCTCGTAATTACTGTAGATGTAATATCTATGGAAGCTTTTGCGCATATATCTACTATATTTTGAAAGAGTCTTTCTGTCTGTCTGTTTAAGAATTCCTCCTAAACAGTAAGAGCTAGGACCACCAAATGTGGTACAAAGCTTCCTCTTATCATAACCTAAAGCAAGGTCAGGGTTTGGTTATGCCAGGAAAATGGGATGTGCCTGGAATGGGATTGCTTCTCATAACACCATACAGAAAAGAGACAGAATCACCAGGCAGGTGAAAGCGGCTAGTTGGGGGTGCCCCACCATCAACAACTGCTCCATCCCCACGCCTCGCACCCTCTCCTCACACATTTTTAGGGAGGGCAGAAAAGGCTAAAGCTCCCCCTCCCCCAACAAAAGGCTGTTCCCCTTCATCAAGGAGCAAGGGGAAAGTACACAGTTTGTTTCATTCCTCACTCTGCCTGGGAGAGCAGAGAGCAGACAACCCTGGATCTGCCCCAGCAGGGGGACATGCTGTGCCCACTATGCCCTCCCCCAGCAGTGACCACTGGAGCTACAGCGGCTATGGAGAGGCGCTTCTCACCTGGCCTCAAGCTGTTGCAGTGAGAGGGGGCTGGGGTAGTCCTCTGATCCCGGGGCAGCCTGCATATGGGCCCCCCCCCATTCCCAGCCCAGCCCCGAGAAATGATTTAAATGAAGAAAAACAAAAATTACTTGAGTTAAGGACCTTAGTAACACCATATAAATCTCCCAGTATGTGTACATACATACACAGCCTCGCACATACACACATGAGAACATGTAGATTAACAAAAGGCAGCTAAATCATAAAAGCCAAATCAAACATCTTTATTGTGAATGCTAAATACTCAGTTTCACAAAATTTACACTAACCTCAGTATAGTCATGATATTAATTAATAGAACAATATGTTTATTGCATGGAAAAAATGGGTGGTTATTAGATTTTGGCTCAAATTAGTCTGAGTTTCTAGATTTTGTGTTTCTTGTCATTTCTTGACAGTATAGATACAGCCCAGATTACTTTGTAAACAAAGAAAAAATAATTTCCCCCATCCAACTGAAGCAGGAACTGCACAACTTAATCAGATCATTGTGTGCAAAGAAAATATTTCCAATGACGACATCTTCCTATGTCAATTGGCTTTTATTGCAGATGTCATCTCTACGTACGGCATTAATGCAGCTCTTTCTTCTCATTTCAAGATTTTAATCTGTTTGTTGCTCTAATATTTTATTAGCTCAAAATACATGCTCTAAAATCCACGGCCATCAAATTTTCCTGTGAGCTAAAAATAAACTGCTCTTGTCAGATATGGTTAGCTGATAAAAAGTGTCAGAGACTTTTCTGAATTACTTTGATAACTTCCTGTTTATGTGGTACTGACCCTTGTCTAATAAAGGCCTTCTACACTAGCAAAAAGGAGAAGATACTGCAACATACTATCCCTTAATGGCAATACTGATTACTTCTGAAAGCCCTTAATACATTTCCCATATTAGACATGAACAGATGTCAGAGATGTTGCCAAGTGAAATTTCTTTTATGCAATCTTGGCTTGTTGTACAATAATAGCCCTTTCTCAACATGGGAAAATATTACAGACCCAACTAATTTCCTTGACAGGGAAGAGTTACATATGTTTTCCACTTGTAGTTTTTACGACAAGTTTACAATTTTGCCAAACCTGGAACTAATTGGGACCATTTCCAAAAATGGCCCAATAAACCCACAATGTGTACAGCTATTCTAAAATGCAGTAAATGATTGTTTGCGTTTTCATTTTTTCTAACTGGGGAAAGTTTGATTGCACAATTATTCCATTTAAGTTACTTAAACACTTACTGTTTCATATCCTCCCAGTTTTTGAGCAGCTTGAAACATAGTCCAAAGGTTAACTGTTAGAGGGACAATAAGTATTTAGATAAGCATTCCATTAACCAACATATTTCAAAGAAATGTCAATTAAACTATTATTTTAAAGAAAAATAGTAAAAAGTTCACAAACCCTGAAAAAGCCTTGGAAAACAATTTACAAAAGGTATTTGCATAATTTGAAGAGCAAGTGTCACTCCTTACTATATTTTTTAAAAATAACATGTGAAGGAGCACATTTAGTTATGTCTATAGGAGTAAAGATACATTTAGACAGAATTAGAGAGTTTGTTCTTCTTTTTTGTTAAGAAACACAGTATAATAGCTGCTTTTTCATGGTCCCATAATTTTGACAGTAAAATCTACCACAAAGACTATTTTTTAAACAGTTTTATTTAACAGTAAGGGATGCAGCCATGTGCTATAGAGCAGCCATTCATTAAACAACCATCTCTGCTCAAATAAGAACCTCCATAATCAATAAACCATAGGCTGTTTGAAAATGCAGTAATGAAGGTGGAATACACAGGCATTGTTTTTGTCCTAGTAAATATGGTGTCAGTGGTAGTGGTGAGAGGGGACAACACCTTTCACAAGGCATAGCAAGAGCCACTCTTCTTTGCACTCCCTACTGAATAATGCCTCCTTGCACATGACTGCCTGCCACCCATCTCATACTCCACAGCTGGACAAGGTCTTACTGTGACACATTAGCCATATTTCACTTATTTGTGTGTTTATTTAATTGATTGGAGGGTAACTGATGGCAACTCCATATTAAAGATCCACATGGGAGTTCAGCAACACTTGGTGATTCCCAGTGATATCGATATAAATATCTAAAGCCAGAGTCAGCAATAATGCAGCAGATCAAAAGAGGACAGAATTTGTTCACCCACAAGGGAATTCTCTGTTGTAGTGTATGTATTGGATGTCTCCTCTAATCTATTTATATTGGCAATATTTACACATACTATCTCAGACAAATATAGAGTCTAATCCTACAAACACTTACACCCATGAATAAATTTACTCACAGGAGTAATTTAATCATGTGCTTAAGCACTGGCAGGACTAGGCTCAAGCAATCACACATAGTTCCATTAAATATTATTGTGTGATCCTATCACAGACTTGGGTATTTTAGAAATAATGGCCTTTCACATCATTCGAACCTACAGTATCC